ACTTTGTATTGGGGAATTGTTATGCATCTCTTCAGACTTGGTTTCACTTTTGAAGTGCCGATACTCTGCATCAATAAACATGTTCTTTGAGAAATTTGCAAGCCTTGGAGTTCTGCTTTATTTGTCTCTATCGATCGGACCCATGACACACAGGTTGTAAAGAGGCCCAGGTTCAGGGGTAGGCAACCTTGGCTCTTTTGTGACTCGTGGACTTCAACTCCCAGAATTCCTGAGCCAGCCATGCTGAGGGGAAAGGGAGAGGTTTTCAAGCTGAGCCAGGCTGGCTCAGGAATTCTGGGAGTTGAAGTCACGAGTCATGAAGGGGCCATAGTTCCCCCATGCTGGCTCAGGAATTCTGGGAGTTGAAGTCCACGAGTCACGAAGGGGCCAAGGCTGCCTTCCCCTGCTCTATGCTGTTGGGTTTCATTAAGTTCTTACCTTGCTAAACCAGGAGATCTTAGTTCTCATAGCTGAATTAAAATTTGTTCATCTTCAGGGAATACTTGTTGCCAATTAGCCGGTTAGTTTCGAGAACACTTAATTGGCAAAGTTGATCAGGAAGTTTTCCAGCTCTGCTCCTTCGTCTGAGACTTCTCTTTGCACCTTGAAAGACCCCCCCCCAGGGAGGCTGCTAATGGGGTGGAATTATCAGGGGAGAGATGGCATTGTCAACCAGGTTGTTTTTCTGGAAGGATTAAACAAGGTGCAAAGGGAGTTATTAACTTTCTTGTTACAATCACAGCCCTCAGCTCTCCTGGGCTTCTTGAGTTCTTCCTCGGGGAGATGCCATCCACTTCATTGTTCTCTTACTTGAACATGAAGTTTCTTTAAAACAGAAGGGACAAACCTAGGCGTTCTCCTGACCAACTTCTTCACCTGGCCCCAAGGTGTGTTTGTTTTCTAAGATCAGCTTGAACGTACAAAGTTGCAGTTCATTTGCTTTTTGATGTTTGACCATGTAGGTTATTTTAAGAGTTGGCCTTTGGAACCAAAAGCCTTTCTTTTTTTCTTTCTTTTTTTCTTTCTTTCTTTTTCTTTCTTTCTTTCTCTTTTCTTTCTTTCTCTTTTCTTTCTTTCCTTTCTTTCCTTCCTTCCTTCCCTCCTTCCTTCCTTTCCTCCCTCCCTCCCTCCCTGGCACAACATGGCTTCCCTTCCATCTGCCCATTTTTTCATAAGCAGAGATGTTTTAGTGAAGATTGACGGGCAAAACTTTGGGAAAATTGCCAGGCAGCAAGGCTTCCATATGCTCTTTGTTGGAAGAATGTGACAATAGCCACAACGGAAGTGTGCTTGCTAAAGTTGGTGGAGCTGGCTGGGATGCCAAAACTGACAGCTCTGATTAGAGAAAAGAGACGGGCCAAATTTAATACCAGTTAGAAGCTCCATCTGAAGTTTGTTCAGGAAACTGAAATCGTGAGATACAGACCCCTCATTTCCACCCTGAGCTACAAATATCCTCCTACAGATAGCCGAGGTGGCAGACGCTGTGAAATCCCACCAGTGGCCAGAAAGGGTTACACAAAAAGACATGCCTGAGGCACTGATCATGGCAGCACAAAAAGAGGCACCAAGCACAAGACCCAAAGATGCAGAGGTCTCCCACAACAGACAGGATCCAAGGTGTAGACTATATAAGGGGGCTTCAGACAATCCAACACAGAGCGGCAAGATGCAAGATGCAGGCAGGAATAGCACATCCAAGCAGAACCAAGTAGAGAAACATCTGCACAAAGCATGAGCTAGACCAGGGATAGGCAACCTTGGCTCTTTTATGACTGGTGGACTTCAACTCCCAGAATTCCTGAGCCAGCATTGCTGAGGGGAAAGGGAGAGGTTTCCAAGCTGAGTCATGCTGGCTCAGGAATTCTGGGAGTTGAAGTCCACAAGTCATGAGGGGGCCATAGTTCCCCCATGCTGGCTCAGGAATTCTGGGAGTTGAAGTCCACGAGTCATGAGGGGGCCATAGTCCCCCCATGCTGGCTCAGGAATTCTGGGAGTTGAAGTCCACAAGTCATGAGGGGGCCATAGTTCCCCCATGCTGGCTCAGGAATTCTGAGCGTTGAAGTCCACCAGTCATAAAAGAGCGCAGGTTGCCTACCCCTGGGCTAGACCCTCCTAAATCCAGATGGGAGATCCTATAAAAGGTCATGGAGAACAAGTTGAGATCCTGTGATCTAGACAGAGAAGCAGGGACTGGCCAGTCAAACAGACATTGCGGTAGTAGAGAAGACCAAAACACAATGATGGTGATAGATGCAGTGGTGCCAGGTGACAGCAACACCAGGGAGAAGCTGGAGAAATAGTAGAGCCTGGAGGAGGAACTGGAGAGGATGTGGGAAGTCAAGGCCAAAGTGGATCCAGTGTGGTAAGGGCACTCAGGGCTGTGACTGTTCCAGAAGAGGTTCTCGAACAGATCCCAGGAACAACATCCGAGCTCTCCATCCAGAACGGTGCTGTGCCAGGAACAACTAAGATCCTAACCAGAACCCTCAAATTCCCAGGATTGACAAAGACAAACTCCCCATCAATGGGAGGATTTAAAAAAACAAAAACATGGAACACTGTGCATCATTTGTTCAACAATTCAATTTAAACCGGTGTCATCCACCTCGACTGCAAATTAGCTACAATTTATAATAGAAATTACATGGTATAAAGATGGGAAGCTGCAATCTTATAATTAAAAATGGCAGATGATAGTCATGAGGAGTTCCCAGCTCTGCTGTTTACCTTCAATAATGCTTCCCCATTGAAGTGTTGAGAAAAATTGATATCTCAATTGGAGACCTTCCGTAAAATCGTATCACTTTGGTTAATCTAACCCAGGAGTGCTGTTTTCCCTTCCTTCCACTTGGAAGCGGCTTTGATTCTCAGAAAAAAAAACCTTCTTCGCACTTTGAGAGTGTTATGTGGTTTTTTAAAAAAGATCAAGATGGTGGCTTCGAACACACAGCTAGGGGTTAAGGCACCAAGTGAGAGACTACGAGTTCAAGTGCTGCCATAGCCATGAAAAGCCAACTGGGTGACTTTGGGCCAATCATCAGAAGACGGTGAGTTCTAGTCCCGCCTTAGGCATGAAAGCCAACTGGGTGACTTTGGGCCCATCACCAGGAGACGGTGAGTTCTAGTCCCGCCTTGACAGTTTGCTTATGCTTTGCCACTCGCTCAGATTCGGTGCCACTTTTTATCCTATCTAGCAAATTTATTTATTTTTATTTTATTAAGAAAATGTATACGGCTGCCCAACTGACCAACAGCAACTCCGAGCCGTTTACAGAAATAAAACCCCACCCCACCCCGGCAGGAATAATTTACCAATAAGATAAATAAGTTTGGAGAATTTGTACCCAAAATAGAGATTACAGTAATTAATATTTTTTTAAAAAAAAATCCCTGTTAATTGTTCCATAACATGGATTCTAGGTGAATATATTTCACCTTTCATTCCTGGGAAAGGTCTGGCAGTCCACACGGGTTGAAGGCCAGGCTGGAGCGAGTGTCATCCTTCCACTGAACAAGGATGTATTTAATCATCAGGTCTAAAAAGCAGCAGAGTCCATCGGATTGGCAGAAAAAAAACTCATAAATGGTAATTTTTCTGTTGGTTTTGAGGGTGCGAACCCTGTATTGCCTCCCCAGTTGGTAATAGAGTAGAGTAGAGTAGAGTAGAGTAGAGTAGAGTACAGTAAGAGTAGAACAGAACACAGCTTGAAGAGACCTTGGAGGTCTTCTAGTCCAGCCTCCTGCTCAAACAGGAGAAACTATACCATCTGAGACAAGTGACTGTCTAGCCTTAATAATACTTAATAAATACTTGCTGTCTCAGTGGAAGGAATGCCAAGGTGGAGCAGGTGAATCCTTCCTTGACGTTTGCTCACTTTTTTGAAAAAAAAAAAAAAAAAAAACTTTCTTGGGTTCAGCACTTTCAGAAGGAAGATATACAATCAGGAGGTCAAAGGCCAAACTCTCCAAAGGAGATGATGCTTGGAGGATCTCTGGTGTCCTTTGATGGGCAACCCAGAGTCTAACGCAGGGGTGTCTGGGGAATTCTGGGAGTTGAAGTCCACAAGTCTTAAAACTTGACATGGTTGGACACCCCTGATCTTGAGGCATCTGCATGGGATCCAGATGCCTACAAATGTTTGGTAGCCTCCATGCTTCTGTTCCCCGTGGATGGGTTGCATGAAGTACGATGAGAACATGGGTGCCGAGGCTGAGAGAGAGGGGCATACAGGGGGGTGAGGAGCCTCATCACTGTCCAGCTCCACAGCCCTTTCAGACCCCTCCCCAAACCAAGACTGACCATCCAGTTGTGAACCACAAAGGGTTCCCACCCCAAAGTTGACCATTAAGGAGCACTTTTTTTTCCAACGGCCTAGGAATCCTACACGGACCAACCAGCATGGGTTTGCCCAGCGTGCAAGCCAAGATAAAAATTAATTCAGGCTTGTGCGTCCTGCAAATAGGGGGGGCTCGATTTGTCGATCCAGCTTGAGACGGGGGGGAGGAGAGCCTAGAGTGGGCTTGACCCCAGAAAAGGCTATCCTTCTTAAATCTGGCTTCTGTTTCTAGGATGGTGATCCCTTGTTCTTCTTCAAAGGTCTTCCAGTTCTTCTGAGAAGACCGGTAGACAGTAACCCAAGACTGTTCTAAGTTGGGGGCAGGTCTATCCTGGTTAAGGTCCCAGGTTCTGGACATCATCCTTGGTCCCAGGTGCTTCAAGAGAACCAAGGCAGACTGCTGCCCCCATCCCAGCCTCTTGCCCCTTGCCTGGAACACCCTGGAGAAGGTGAGAATCGGTGAAGACTGCCCAATGGATGTCTCTGATCTCTGGCACAGGAAAAGGGGCAAACCCCCCCCCCCCATCTGCTGGGGGTCTCCTGACAACAAAGTTGGTCTGTTGTAATAATGCTGCAGTTCATGAGGGCTGCCCACTGGACATGGCATAAGCCCAGTTCACATCCACGGGAGAAACTCCAAGCTGGTTAGTCTTGTTCCATCTAGCTGTCTTTCAGGTTGCAGCCCAGGACCACGTGTGGACCACCTGTTTCTCTACAAAGCCGTGGCTCCTCGCACTGGTACCACTCCTGTTCGTTGAAATCTGGGAAGAAGAAGGCAATTTCCTTGCTGGCTGAGGCTGCAGAGTCTGGGGAGGAAGAAGGAGACAACAGAACAATAAAATAACAGTGTTGGAAGGGACCTTGGAGATCTTCTAGTCCAACCCCTTGCTCAGGCAGGAAACCTCAGACAAATGGCTGTCCAATCTCCATATAGGGTCTCCTGCTAGAGCAGGGGGTTGGACTAGAAGATCTCCAAGACCCCTTCCAGCTCTATCCTGACTGATCTCTTCTTAAAAACCTCCAGTGATGGAGCACAACTTCTGGAGGCAGGCCGTTCCACTGGTCAATTGTCCTCACTGTCAGGAAATTTAATCCTTGTTAAATGAATCCTTCCCCGTTGACTTTGCTGGTCAGAAGGTCAGAAAAGCTGATCACATGACACACACACACACACCGGAACACTGCAACAGTCCTAAGTACATGCCAGTTGCCAAGCGTTTGAAATTTGACCATGGGGATACTGCAATGGTTGTTCAGTGCTGAAATGCAGTCGTAAGACATTTTTCTCAGTGCTGTTGTAACTTCCAACGGTCGCTAAACGAATGGCTGTTAAGTCAAGGACCACCTTTAACATGAATTCCTTCAGATCAGTTTTTTTTCAACCTTGGCAACTGGAAGGTGGACTTCAACTCCCAGAATTCCCCAGCCTGTATGTAAATGAAGACTCAATCATCCACTCAATCATCTGTATGTAAATGAAGACTCAATCATCCAGGCCAAAAGTATCTCAGATTTACACACACACACACACACACACACACACACGCACCGCGTAGTCTGTATGGCAAGAGTTGGTTCCTTCCAACAACTCTCTGACTACCCAAAATTTGCGTTTTGACTGAAGACGTTTTCCTTCGATGAGTAACGAAACGTCTCGGTTTTAATAAAAGTTTGGTCCACTTGCCAAGATTTAACCTTTTGAGGCCCCTCCCCATAGTTGGGACCCACACCCTGGGTTTTACGAGTCGGGCTGAACTGAAGAACCCTGATACCTTCATTTTTTACCCCAATCCTCACTTCTTATTCTGGAATAAAAAAATTCCAGGATCTTTCACCGTTCTCGCCTTTTAAGGGGAGGCGCATGTCAGCACGCTCTGTTGGTCTGCCGCTGTGCACCGGTCTGCTCCAATCCTGCCTGAACTGCTGGGGGAGCACTGAATTTCCCAAATATTCTGGAGAAGATACGCAGGCACCCAAGACCACCCAAGACCACCAGAACTGGCCCAACAGAATCAATTCTGATTGTTCTCAGGGCAGATTAGATTGGGCACACAGGATCCAGTCCGTGGTGCTGACTTTCCACATCCAAAGTGGACGGGTGACCGTCTCACCCTTCACCCATCTGGGAAACCCACCCACCCCCCAGTTTTGAGCGCTTGTTTCGTGGCCCCTGAAACGTCCCAGGCGGCTCTGGAGGCCTTCAGGAGTCCCCCCGTGGAGGCCAGGCGGATCCAGCTCTGGGGCTCACCTGAGCCGTGGACGGTGTTCCGGGTGTCGGTGAGGCCCAAAGTCCCACGGATGGACCCTGGGGCAGTGTGGAGGGCACGGTACACCTTGGTGGGACCCATCAGGGATCTCCAGCGAGAGACGGCTTCCTCGTGAGCCAGGATATAAACCCTCATGGGGCCGCTGAAAGGGCAAGGAGAGAGAAATCCGTGGGACGCCCTGGTCTCTGCCTATTTCTGGATCCTTCTCCTTCCTTCCCTCTTCTCCTTTCCTTCTTCTCTCTTCCTTCTTTCCTTCCTTCCAGCCCCTTCCCCCCTTTCCCTCCTCCCTCCCTCTTCTTTCCCCTTCCTTCCTTCCTATCTCCTTCTTTCTTTTTTTCTTCCTCCTCTGTTCCTTCCATCTTCCTTGCTTTCCTTCCCCCTCTTCCTTCCTCCCATCTTCCTTGCTTCCTCCCTCCCTCCCTCCCTCCCTCCTTTCCTTCCTTCTTTCCTCCCTCCCTCCCTCCGAATCTAGAATCCTTTCGATCTAGAACCACACCCACATTTCCCCACCTGGAACATCAACAGAGAAAGCGCTTAGATCTAGCCCTGGACAGGTCCTCAAGCCTCACACAGTAATTTCCGGCCAGGCATGAAACTGGTCATCTGCTGCCTCCTGGTGGCCAATGCAACTCAACACAACACACATCTTTTTCATTAGGTGCCACATCAACTCGGTGACCACACAGAACGTGGTTTTTGGAAGGTCTGTCCCATATCTGGTCTTTCAGATCTTCCAACCATGCTAACCGAGTACACAAACACACACCACCTGCTGGTCATCCCCTTCTCATCTTTTCGTCCACTCTTCCCAGCATCACAGCCTTCTCTGGACAGCTGGGTTTTTGTAAGTGTCCAAATTAGGATCATTTTAATATATACACACACAAACACGCATGTACACACAGGCACAAATATCTTGATAAAGGAGGCAACACAACAGCTACTAAAATTTTTCCTACAATTTAAAATATTTTTTCTCACAAAACAAACTAAGCATTAAAGAAGGTGCATCTGAAAAAACCTCCATTATACACATTTTTTTCTTTTTTGTCTTTATATATATATATATACACAACACACATATACATGTATACACATAAACACACACACACACAAATATATATATATACATATACACACACACATACACATACACACACAGAGAGAGAGATCTATAAAAAGTTTCCCATCTTTCCCATCTGGAATCTGTTGGGAATTTTTGCTATTTCTCAACTGGACATAAACATGGATGGGAAGGGTTATTTTTTACTGAATTTTGGCTACCGCCCTTTCCACAGGGTGGAGAATTTAGTTCTTGTTCCAACAGCATAGTAAATTTTTATGGCTGCAGGTCTCTCCGCCTCTTTTGCGTCGCAACAGCGAGACAGAACATTGACAGGGGTCTCCAGGGGGGCAAAAAAGTCAAGATGGTGGCTGCGATTAAGTGATTGGAACCCTGCCCTTTTTTCCTACTTTTTCAGCATTCCCCTGGCTACTTTCCCCCTCCTCTAGAACAAAACTATTGAGGTCTTGGGGTGAAGGTAGCCGGGGGAACTGGGGGTCTCAGCAGGCCTTTGAAGGGGAACAGGAAGGGGGTCTTCTCGCCACCAGCTTCGGACCTACCTGGACATGAACTCCACCAGCCTCCGGTAGAAAAAGCGCCCTGGAGGAAGAAGAAGAACTTGTGAGGAACAAGACGGGTTCTGCTCTGCCAGCTCTCCACCCTGCTGGACCCCAATGCAAGCGAGGACCCACAGCAACCGAGAAAGAGGGCTGTTGTGTTGCAAAATGGATTGGATCCAGCATGGAGGGCCCAACACAATTGGCTTGGTCTGCAGGCCCCATCCCAACTTTCATGTGGAGTTGAGCAGCCAAGATGGCCAAGGCTTACAAGAACATTATGGGCCTCAGCTTTGATCCCTGGCCACAGGAAGCCCTCCGACCACCAGAAATGAACTGCAGGAAGGATCTACACATGGAGCCCCATCCTTTTCTTCATCCCAACTGCGTGAACGTCTGCTCATAGCTGGATCAGGTTCACCCAGGAGGACACTCAGCTCCATACCCATGAGGGACAGGGACATGGTCAACACTAGGAGGCCCAGATTTTGATCTCTAGAAAGCTGGACATTATTTCTTCAAGGCCCCAAAATGGGGGTTCGGGGTTTCTAGATTCCCTCTACTGAACCCCTCTGAACTCCCGTTATCTGGATATGAAAATCTTTCGGGTACAGGAAGCCTCGGACCATCGAAACTCTGAACTGGACCAAACCTGAGGTCCATCTAGCCCAGCTTCTGCGATATCCAGAAGCCAACTGGGATGCCCTGGGGAGGATCCCAAGACGGGACTGGAGGACAAGAGACCCTTCCCCAGTGTTTCCCAGGAACCAGGATTTTAGCCCTGTTGCATCTGGAAGTCTTCACCACAACCTGAGTGCTCTTGGTAGAACCTCCGGCTGTCCTCTCTGCTCCAGAGGAGGTCCTTTGTCCGGACGATCAAGAATTTGTGGCTCAGAATGGTTTCGTGCACTGCCTAGGAGAAGACCGAGAAGAACATTAAGGGGAAGGCCATGAAAAGTCCAAAGAGGCCTCACACCACCTGGCCATTGTCCAGAGGGCTTTTGGTGAGGGCAAGTGACCTTGTCCCTTAGCTTCTGAGAAAACTGACCTCCGTCGTTGTCCCAAAGGTGCTTCCTCTAAAGGGCAACTGGATTTTGTTTTTTTCTTTGAAGACATTTTGCTTCTCTTCCAAGAAGCTTCTTCAGTTCTTCAGAAGCTTCTTGGATGAGAAGCAAAATGTCTTCAAAGAAAAAAAAAATCAAGGAAGTCCAGGTACCTTTTGGGGGAAAAAACACCTTTGGGACAATCATGATCTGGATGGTTGAGTACCTCCATAGACAACCTCAACAGATTTTTGAAACCATGATAAATCTCAGACTGAAGACTCCAAAACATTTTTGAACTGAGCCATCACTTATTTGCTCAGGATTGGTCCAAACATGGAGAAGACCTTAGCTCTCCACAACCAATTTGCCCTGGAGGTCTGCTGGACCACTAGAACTCACACTAAATGACTGTAATCCCAATTTTTATAGAGAAATAATAAAATATACAAAATAACCCAAGTTGGGGATGCAACAGAGACCCCAAATCAATGCCAGCCAACTGCAAAAGGAGGGGGTCTTGGGCAGTGGTTGGATTCAGCCGGTTCGCACCAGTTCGGCAGAACCTGTAGCTAATTTTTGGTTGCCCAGGCCCAGAATGGACTTCTGGAAGCGGCATCCACACAGAGAACTGGTTGAATCCCACCACTGGTCTTGGGCTCAACAGAAAGTCTGAGCTTCCCCATCTATAAAGATCGATGGTGACCCACGGTCTACTCAATGCGCCACTGGAAAGTCAGATCTTGACCTAGACCATGGGCTCCTTCTACAAAGGGGAGGGAGGGGAGACACCCTATTGTGGGGCACAAGGTCATGAATACGCTGGAGAACAGGGTGTGGGTGAGGGTCTCTCCAAAGACTGAGGTGCCACCAGTGAAGCTATTTGAGGGGAACCTAGAAACCCAGCATAGCAGGCAGTTCTTTGTGCAACCCAAATAAATCTTTATGCCCTCAGAATGTGGGGAGATAGATACGTCAACTGCAATTCACAGAGGACAGGATCCTCCTTGACCAGTGGGTTTCTGGTGGTGACCCTCTTCACCCATTCCAAGTCTTAGTCCACAAAACTAAGACAGGGCAGGAGGCAGCTTTCCATCCGTGGCTTTTGCCCCCACCCTAGAAACATCCGGTTGACCACCAGAGCTGGATCAAGGCCGACAGATCTCCTAAGCAGAGGCCAACCATGGAGTTCTTTGGTCCTTCTGTTGCTTAGCTGGCCAGATGTGAAGACTCCCTAGGTGCTGAAAACTGGAGTGTGGCAGTGAAAGAGTTAAAGGAGCGATTGGCCGCCTCCTCTTTCCTTGGGGACCTGCACAACGCCTCATCCAGGGTTGTTGACCACCCTCAAGAACTAGGCTAATATCAACCACAGCTCTTAGTCTACTCTAGGGAATCACTTGCCTCCCAAGGTGGTGGGGGCTTCACAGCTGGAGGTCTTCAAAAGCAGATGTGACATGGAATAAGGATGGTACAAGGCAGGGGTCCCCACCCCACCCCACCCCCGGACTGTCCACGGCATGCCAGCAAATGGTCTGCACAAACAAGCAAAGCCAAATCCACGAGATGCAGGCAGCCCACAAAACCAGGGGCCCCTCCGGTCCACGGAAAAACCTCTCTCTACAGAACCGGCCCCTGGTGCCCAAGAGGTTGGGGGGCCTCTGGTATAAGGTCTCCCGCCTTGAGCAGGGGTTGGACTAGAAGACCTCAGAGGACCCTCCAGCCTTAGGCGTCTGTGTTTCATTTCATTTCATTTTATTTGATTTATATCCCGCCCTTCTCCCGACGGGACTCAGGGCGGCTCACAACATATTTAAAACAAAGACATACCCGCAATCCCCGCCAAATAAAACCAAATTAAAACCAAATATTTTAGAGTTGTGGTGTTAAAATTTTTCTAAAAAACCCAAGTTCTGTGTCCTGTTCCACCTTGGTGGCTTTAAGATGGGCGGACTTCAACTCCCAGAATGCCACCCATCTTAAAGCGGTCAAGGTGGAGGAACCCTGCTCTAGAAGGCTGGGGGGGGGGTATTTTCCCCCCTGCTCCTTGCCCCCCCCGTCAGAGACCTCTGGTTGACCGACCCCCCCCCCCAGTCCAGGAGGGTGCAAACCCCACCCTGGGCAGGCCCTTTGCACTCACCTCCAGCACGAGTGGGTGGGCCACCGCGTCGGGCTTGACGATGGCCAGGGTCAGCTGCAGTGCCCGCCGCAGCCCCGGCCAGGAGGGCCGCATCTGGACCGGGATTGGGGGGGGTCTGCGGGACGGGGGGGGGGGTTGTCTCGCTCTACCCGCCGCTCCGCTGCAAGCCAGAGGGAGGAAACGCGCCGCTGCAAGGAGACACGCACGTGGGGACCCAGCACGGCCCCTTCCGGGGCTGGGACGCTTTTGCACGCTTTTGCGCCTCCTCCCCCCCCTCCCCGTTGTGTAGGGAAGCCGGAAGCGAGGTTGGAGCGCCTTTAGCACACTTTTTGCACGCCTGTTGCACGCTTGGAACTCACTTCACCCCCCCCTCCCCACGCACGCCGCTTTTGCAAGCGGAAGCCGGAAGCGAGAGGCAACTGACGCCGTTGCACACTTGACAGCTCTCTCCCGCTTGTGCAAGGGGGGGGAAGGGCGCGCCTTTTGCACGCCTCTCCCTCCCTCTGCCCCGGTTTGCAAAGGGAAGCAGGAAGCGAGAAGCGGCAACTGGGTGGCTTTCTGCACACTTGGCATCTCCCTCCGGCTTGCGAAGAAGCCGTTGCACACTTTTGCACGCCACTTCCCACTCTTGCCGTCTCACTCCCCTCCCCCAGGTTTGCAAAGGGAAGCGGGAAGCGAGAGGCGGCAACTGTGTCACGTTTGCACACTTGGCGTCTCCCTGCGGCTTGCCCGGGGAAGCGGGAAGCCTTTGCACACTTTTGCACGCTCGGCGGGCCTCTCCCTCCCTGCCCCGCTTTGCAAGGGGACGCGGGCGGACTTTTGCACGCCGGCCTGGCTCGGGGAAAGCGGGAGGCGAAGGGGCGGGCGCGCTCTCCCGAGCCCCGCGGGGCCGCGCGCCGCATCCGGCCGGTCGCCCGGCAGCCGAGCCGGCGTCGCCTGGGCGGGGACGGGGGCGGAAGGGGAGCGGCGGGCGCAGCCTTGGCGACCCGGGGGGCCGAGGCTGCCCAGCCCCTCCGCGCATGGCCCAGCCGGGGGGTCCGCAGGGGGAGCCCCCCCTGGCCGGCCTGGACCAGGACAAGTACGACGCGGAGGAGAACGTGAAGATCATCTGCCTGGGCGACAGCGCCGTGGGCAAGTCCAAGTGAGTCGCCCCCTCCCCCCCCCCGCGGCCAGACCCCCCCCCTCCCGGGGGGCAGAGGAGGGTCTCCTCCGCCGCTCCCCCCCCGCCCCACTGTTGGGCTCCGGGAGTTGCGCAACCGCCCTTCCGGAGCCCCAGCCACGGGCGGGGGTCGCTGCTCCCGGCGGGGACCCCCCCCACCCCGCTCTGCAGCCCGGGATGGGGGCGGGCGAGGGGTGGGAGAGTCCATTGGGACCCGAGGTCGCTGCCCCCCTCCCCCCAGAAGCCCCGGCTGGTCGACGGGGGCATCGGAGGAGATGGGGCTCAGCTGCTGGCCCATGGGGGGGGGGTCTTGAAGTCCCAGGTGCTAGGAGGGGACAGGGGGGGGGCTCTCGCCCTCCACCCCAGGGTGCCCCCTTCCTCCCCACCCCCGCGGGGGACCCAGCAGCTGCGCCAGATGGTCCAGATGATCTCATGCAGGTGTTTAGATGATCTCTAAGGTGACGCTGGCTGGGGAATTCTGGGAGTTGAAGTCCGTCCACCTCTCGGCTGATTGATGCGGGTCTGGTTGAGTTGCACAAGACGGTTGACACAACTTCCCCACCCGTTTCTTTGGGAAAAGTGTGCAACTGCCGTCACACCCTCGGCTGAGATTGCTTTCAAGTTTGCCCCTTGGTGCCCTCTGAGCTTGGATGGAGGTTTTTTGGGGTAGGCTTTCATTTACCCAAACTAGGTAACGATCATCGGTGATGCTACTCGCCCTGATGACGTTCCCTAGTGGGGTCACGAAAGGTCTGCAAGAAAGCAGCCAAGCTCAGAGAGCACCAAGGACCCCTCGTGGCAACAGATGTTCTCCTTTTTGGCTTCTGTGTTTTTGTGGATCTTGGCAACGCGCTCAACCAGGTCCAATGGGGCTGGGTGGTTGTGGGGACGCAAGACGAGGTTTAAGACGCCGTGGGAAGCCGGCTGTCGCGTGAAGCCATCTTGGGGCTGAATGGCTGGGCAGAGCGTTCTGCTCTTGCCTATAAATTTGCTGAGGGGGCTTTTGTGTGGGGTCAACTTCCTTCCATGGGCATTCAGGGTGTGGTGTTGGTGGCGCCAGGGAAGGGATGATGGACGGGAGCCTGAAGCACCCACTCAGTCAGCGGCTGACCCAAAATCTGCCAGGCGTAGGAAACAGGGAGCCAGGAGGGAGTTTAATGAGGACTTATTCCATGGTACCTCTGGGTGGTCCTCGAATTTATGTCGCTAAGTGAGACATTTGCTGAGTTTTGTCCCTTTCTTGCTGCAGTTGTTAAGTGAATCACTGCAGTTGTTAAATTAGTCGCACGGTTGTTAAGTGAATCCGGCTTCCCCCGTTGACTTCGCTTGTCGGGAGGTCACAAAAGTGGATAACGTGACCCCCCCACGGGGCGTTGCGACCGTCATAAATATGAAACAGTTGCCCAGTGTCTGAATTTTGATCAGCTGACCGTCGGGATTTTGCAATGGTCATAAGTGTGAAAAATCGCCATAGCTCGCTTTTTCCAGTGCCGTTGTAACTTCGAATGGTCACTAAACGAATTTTTGTAAAGCGAGGACTGCCTGTATTCACAAGAATCTGATCTACTAATGGTCAAGCAAATTGGGGCCAGATGAGAGGCCATGGGCTTCGCGGGGGAAGGGGGGGCTGGACTTAGCTCTCTTTTGGGGATGTAGAGACTCCAGACCGATGATGCATTTGACTCCCCCCCCCTCGGCCTCTGCCTGGCCCTCTCCCACAGAAGCTGGGCTGGGCTGGGGGGGGGTGGTCCTTGGACTCAGTTTCCTCAACGGGGCAATTTCCCTCTTTTTCCAGATTGATGGAACGCTTCCTCATGGAGGGCTTGTATCCTTTGACGCTCAGCAACCCGGGGGAAATTGTAAGGCCTCCTGCCTTGATCAGTGGGTTAGACTAGAAGACCTCGATGGGGTCCCTTCTCGGCCTATGATTCTGTGTTCTAAAACCCTCCTAAAGTTGCTCCAGGGCTGGGTGGGCGGGCTGGTGGGCAGAAGCACTGGAGGCTCTGCATTGGTGGGCTTGCCTCTTCTGAGGACCCTCTACATGGCTTCCTCCTTCCTGAAGACCACCCTGGTTCGCCGCCTCCTTTCCTTGACCCGGCCCACAGCAAGCCACAGCAGCTCTCGACCTTCGCCCTGACCCTCTACAAGCACACGGCCACCGTGGACGGCAAGACGGTCCTTGTGGGTAAGGGCCTGGTGGACGCCTTGGTGGAGGCCACGGCGTGGAGTCCTGTCCCTGGTCTCATTGGGTGGGACTCTGTTCTGATGAACACGCCTGTCCGGGGCTTGGAAGTTGCCCATTGAGAACAAAGCATGGGAGGGGCTGAGAAGCTGGCTGGCTGGAAGGTCCTCCTGTGGTTGGATCTCAGCAGGAGATCCGTGATTTATCTCTCTCTCCACCTCACACAGCCCACCCGCATTCAGAAGACCCCGAGTTGCAGGAGGCCGAATAGGATGGATCTTCTGACTTAGAGAAGTCTTTCTCAACTTTGGCCGTTGGAAGATGGGTGGGCTTCCACTCCCGGAATTCCCCTGGCTGGCTGGGGGATCCTGGGAGTTGAAGTCCACCCATCTTCAAGGTGTCGAGGTTGAGAAATACCGACCTGGAGAGATTGTGTGAGTTAGGTGGGTCCTTTGTGAGCTGTGGAATTCCTGCTTTCCAGACTTCTGGGACACGGCTGGCCAGGAGCGTTTCCAGAGCATGCACCCGTCCTACTATCACAAGGCCCATGCTTGCATCATGGTAAGGAACTGGCGCATGGGGCTTGGGGCGGCAGTTGTCCAGGGGAAAGCCAGTGGGTTTTTCCTAGCAGGCAAAATGCTTGAGTGAGGGATCTCTGCAGGGGGATATAGAGCCTTTGTCATGGTTCCGACTAATGAAACACTTCAAAGAACTTCCAGGCATTTTATCCTAAAAAGTCTTTTTATTTATGTGACAAAATGTCAGCACAGGCATGATGAAAGGGAATGCTAAGATCTGAAGTTCCCACCCACTGAGCAGTTATTTTTGCTAGCATTCCCCCTCCCTATTTTGCTGTCATGATTTACTTTCTCCAGTTAGTGTGAAGGGCAAAGGTTCCCTTCCTTTCCCTTTCGTGGGCTTTTCCCTCCTCCCTCATTCTCCTCTGCATTAACTCTAAAAATACCAGACAGTTCTGCATACTTTGTCAAAGCAAGAATATTCAATATTTGCAGCGTTGACACCCTTCTTCTGACTCCGGGACTCAGTTGTCCTCGCCGTGTTCCTGATGCTGGTGGGACACAAAGGAGTTTCCCCCTTGCCCCCCCGCCAAATAGTTCCCCCGCCGGAGTCTATGGCAGGCTGGCACTGAGGCAAGCGAAAGCGGGAGTGAGATGGCAGATAGGAGACTTGCCCTTTTGTGCCCACGTAAGGATTCCAGACTAATTCCCCACCTGACTCCTCCAGTCTCTGACCATGTTGAGCGAGCCTACCAATGTCGAGAAGATGCTTCTTCCTGGGATTCTTTACACCTGTCGTCTCTCTCCCACCGGGATCTGAGATACTGGTTGTGGCCTGATTAGCGCATGATCAGCCGCCCTCTTCCTCTTCCCCCCTTCCAGGTCTTTGACGTCCAGAGGAAGTTGACCTACAAGAACCTGACCAACTGGTATAAGGAGCTGCGTGAGTTCCGGCCCCAGATACCCTGCATCGTGGTGGCCAACAAAATTGATGGTGGGCCTCTCCTTTTCACCTCCGGGAAGTCCTCCGGGGAGGAGACTTGATTCAGCCTCTTTTTGGACGAGGGGGAATCTTTTGGCCTTCGGGTTTTTTTAAGTCCACACAACGCCTGTTGTCCCAAGACTGTTTAGTCAGTTGTGGAGAATGTCACGAGGAAACTTCCTGTTAAAGCTGCATCAACCGCAAGCCTTAAAGTTGCCAAGGTTGAGGGCCCCTGAGATAGGGTCTCCTGCCTGAGCAGGGGGCAAAACTAGAAGATCTCCACGGTCCCTTCCAGCTCTGTTATTCTGGTAATTAACCAGTGGAACTACCTGCCTCCAGAAGTTGTGGGTGCTCCAATGCTGAACGTTTTTAAGAAGAGACGCGACAGCCACTTGTCTGAAGTGGTCTAGGGTCTCCTGCTTGAGCAGGGGGTTGGACTAGAAGACCTCCAAGGTCCCTCCCAGCTGTGTTGCCCTGTAAGAACCTGCCCTGCTTGGCCAGTCAATTCCTTGGTGCTTGTTGCAAACTCACCGGTTGGGTTGTTTCAGTCCCCGAATTGAGCCTGTAGGTGCTCGGTTGTCTCGGTCCGTGTCCTCTGGGTCTCCTTCCGGGTGGGAGAGGCCCGGCCCCTCCTGGAAGGCCTCTGAGGTCAGCCGATTCTCTCCCGTGTTTCTAGCCGACCTGAAGGCGACCCAGAAGAGCTTCAACTTTGCCAAGAAGCTCAACCTGCCTCTCTACTTCGTCTCTGCAGCAGACGGCACCAACGTGGTGAAGGTGAGGGGGGGGGAAGGCTTGGGTTCCCGGTCAAGGCAGGGCACCGGCCGGACAGGGGAGGTGGGTACGGAGGAGCCCAGCCTCATCCCCTTCCCCCAACTGACCCTCTGCCTTCCCCCTCCGCAGCTCTTCACTGATGCCATCAAGCTGGCCGTGGCCTACAAGCAGAACTCGGAGGACTTCATGGACGAAGTCCTAAAGGAGCTGGACGTAAGAGCAGGGGGCGGGCGCGAGGGGCGGCTGCTGGGGGCTCCAAAGGGAGTTCAGTCTTTGGCCAGGGGGGCAGTCAGGGAGCCTCTGGATGCAGGAGGGGCCGTTTTTGGTGGCAACCACCATGACACGAAGCTGCAGTTGGGTCCTTCGTGAGCCTGGCAGTCAAAAGGCTTCTTCTCCCTGACCCGTTTTTCTCAGGTGGGGTAGCCCCTCCCTTCCTGCCCTCCCTCTTTCCTCCCTTCCTCCCTCCCTCCATCCCTGCCTCCCTCTTTCTTTCCCTCCCTCTCTGCCTCCCTCTTTCTTTCTTTTCCTTCTCCCTCCCTCTTGCCTGCCTGCCTGCCTCCTTCCTCTCTATCTCTCCTTCCCTGTCTCCTCCTTTCCTTCCTCTTTCTTTCCTTCCCTTCCTCCCTTTTTCTTCCCTCCTTCCCCCTTTCTTTTCTTCTCTTCCTCCTTTTTTCTTACTCTTCCTTTCCCTCTCCTTTCTTCTTTCCTTCTTTGTTCCTTCCCTCCTTTCCTTCCTTTTCCTCCCTCCCTCCCTCCCTTCCTTCCCTCCTTCCTTCCATCCATCCATCCATCCACCTGGAAGCCCTCTCTTGCCGCAATCCCGCTGCTGCCCTGGAAGAGTCCAGGTGTGGAACACCTGTGTTGATTCTCTCTCTTGCTTTCCCTGCAGAACTTTGACCTGGAGACGAAGGAGGAGGACTCCCCCACAGAGGAGACCAGTCAAGGGGAGCCTTCCTGGGTCCACCTGAGCCCTGGGAACGAGTAACTGGGGCCGCCACTGGCACAGAGACCACGGGCAGCTCCACCTGCTCAGTGGAGGCAGCCAGGGGCCTCCGAGGGAAGGCACCCAGGTGGAGATGGGCTCTGCTGCCCTGGGAGACGGCGGCGGAGTGACCAGGTTTCCACCCCAGAGAACAGGGGCTGCTGGGGCTGGTAGACCTCGGGCTTCTCTATGCCCCGTTTCACTTCTAGAGGACCCTTAGCCTATATTGTTGTTGTTGGAAAAATTCCAGCCGGAGAAATAAATTTTGGAAGTCTTGAAGCCAGAGTTGAGCCTGATAGCTTCTCTGAGAGAGCAAAGAGGACCCAATTGTGTGGCACCTTCAGGTTGTGTTGCATTCTGAGCGAGCAACGAATGCTCTGGGTTGGGCCTTCGGTGCCAGCCACTCGTGGACTTCAACTCCCAGAATTCCTGAGCCAGCAGAGCTGGCTCAGGAATTCTGGGAGTTGAAGTCCACGAGTCATAAAAGAGCCCAGGTTGCCTACCCCTGCCCCAGCCAGCCAGGAATTCTGGGAGTTGAAGTCCACGAGTCATAAAAGAGCCAAGGGTGCCTACCCCTGCCCCAGCCAGCCAGGAATTCTGGGAGTTGAAGTCCACGAGTCATAAAAGAGCCCAGGTTGCCTACCCCTGCCCCAGCCAGCCAGGAATTCTGGGAGTTGAAGTCCACGAGTCATAAAAGAGCCAAGGGTGCCTACCCCTGGTCTCCACAACAGATAAAGAATACGTACCCAAAGCTCTTTGAATACAGGTAGTCCTCGACAACCGCAGTTGAGCCCAAAATTTACGTTGCTAAGGGTGAAATTTGTTATGTGAGGTGTGCCCCATTTTACGATCTTTCTTGCCACAGTTGTTAAGTGGATCACTGCAGTTCAGTTAGTAACATGGTTGTTAAGCGATTCTGGCTTCCCCCATTGACTTTGCTTGTCAGAAGATTGCAAGAAAGTGATCACCTGACCTCAACACACTGCAACCGTCATAAATGTGAACAAGCTGCCAAGCGTCAGAGTTTTGATCACGTGACCACGGGGATGCTTCCGCGGTCATAAGCCTGAAAAATGGTCATAATGCACAATGGGCTTTGATGTGTCCCATCAGCCCTGTTTGCTCACATGATTAGGTCACAGAGAGGTCAGGGTTATGTGGATCTCTTCAGACAACTGATCCACTTAACAGACAGGGTTAGCTTGGATCACTCACTTTGAGGCGAGGACTACCGCCAATCCACAGTGTTGACCAAGTTATTTACCATAAAGTTACAGTAAGTTCCAAGCCAAAGTCCTAGAGAGGGTCTCTACAAGCAAGCCTTCTCTAGGAATTCTGACACGATTTTCTTGTCCTCCAATGGCTGGTCCCCACTTCTCTGGGTTTCACAGAGACCGACCATGAGCTGGAGAAAAACGTCGTGGTCAGCCATAATGTGCTAAAATGGCCACCGTTTTATTTGTGATGACTGATAATTGGGAAATTCGTGAGCCTAGCAGGCACCAACAAGGAAGGATGAGCAAAGGGTTCTTCACTTTTTTGGAATGAGGGACATTGTGTGGCAGTAAAGGACCCACAACAGTAACTAGCATGGGTAAGTGGTCTTTATTGAGAAGACAACCTTAAGGTGAAGCTTTCCCACCCCCAGCCCAAGCAACACCTGGCCCCAGAGATGGAGAAGATTGATGCTTACTGGCCCTCCATCGGTAGGTGTGTGCCATCTTCAGATCCAGCAGTTTCACCCTTTCAGTTTGGTCAAGCTGACGAAGTCTGCCTTTGGGTGAAGATCTGAAGGGGAGAAGGCCCACCTCTGATCTTCACCCAAAGGCAGACTTGGTCAGCTTGACCAAAGTGAAAGAACGGACACTTGGCAAGGGTGAAACTGCTGGATCTGAAGATGGCACACCTACCGACGAACGAAGTGCCAGGAAGCATATGGCTGCAGAGAAAGGTGCCAGCTGTAGGGTTGACCACGGGGTTGATTGCACAGCCCACCAATAGTTGGCTGTGAATGCTGGGCACAAGCACTGCCATCTCAGTGGTCTTCAGATGGTTGTTAATGGGCAGATGGAATAGTGGAAGTGACCGCAGAGAACTGGACTAACTCAGTGGGGTCCACTTGGCCGATCCTTCCATGCTTCAAAGACCTGAGCTGGGAAGTTGTACAAGATGTGTGGGACCTTCCATCACAACAGAGCCATCAGGCAAGGTGAGGACACCTTCATGATGCTGCACTGCTGTTGGGTGGCCTAAACTTGCGTGGAGCTCTACATCTGCAACGGTGACCCAACAGCCGGTGATCAAGTGTGCAGAACTGAACAACTTTTACAGCTGACTTGGCAACAAATGTTCCCCCATTAAGAAAGATCGGTTTAGAGACATAAAATACAGGAAGTGCAACAAGGAAAATGAAAGAGCCTGGGACCAGAACAGATATTTTTTTGCAAACACATTGGATATTTACATTTTGTAAACAATAAGAAACACACTGCCAAACATCTGTCACAAAGAAAAGCTGGGGAGGGGGGGGAAACAGGATTTAAACTTACATGTATATAGATTCCAATTCTTAGCCTTTGTAGAAGTTGGTCTTCGTGTTAAGGGTTGCTTGTATGCACAACAAAATATTTACGCAACCCAATACTTGGCCTTCTCCAGACGGTGCTGAGGTCCCAGGGAAAGATTAAATGCAGGGGCCTCGGGTCACCCGTTTTCGTGCAGCCTGCAGGTCTTGCCCTGCCTGTGGTCACCACACTCCTGCTTCAGAAGCACCAGGCGTGGATGGAGCTCAGCTCACCATCCTGAGCTGTGTAAAATCGCCCCAAAGACGCAGTGCACGTGAGATTAGCAGAGCCCTGAACAAAACTTTCTGGTTTTGATAAGTGTGCTGCCACAGCTCCCCGAAGGATGTCGCTGGCATTGCCGAGAGTTCACAACTTTGGTGGCACACCTGTGGGCCAAAGGCATGCTGGGTCTCCTTCCAGTTCACCAGGACTCGTCATCCTCGGCTAGGCTCTCCAACTCCTCCTCGACAGAAGCCAGATCCGCGTCCTTGATGAGTTTCAGGTTTGACAAATCGGGCCAGAACCACACGGCGTTTTTCTCCTTCTTAATGATGTGCAAGAACTTCCGAATCACCCTCAAGAACCTAAACACGGTGTTGTCCGTGTGGGAGATTTCAATGAGGGGCAGGACTTCCTGCCCCTTGTTAATCTGGGATGGGGTCTGGGGGAAGTGAGGTTGGCTTGAAGTTTCGGGTTGAGGCGTAGTTTCTGGTGAGGACTGAGATGTGGGTGGTGAAGTTGCAGGTGGCGGATGGAGTGTTGTGGATTCAAGGGGAACTTCAGGTTCCGTTTTCGGTTCTGTTTGAAGGGAAATTTGGGGCTCAGACTGAGTTGGGGCTTCCGTTGTATGAAATACGATGACCACCTGAGCTGGCGTTTCAGATTTTGGTTCAGACGTGGTTTGATGAGAAGATTGGGTCTCAGACTGAGTTGGGGCTTCCGATGTAGATTGAGGTACGATGACCACATGAGCTGTGGTTTCAGATTCTGGTTCAGACGTGGTCTCAGACCAAGTTGGGGCTTCTGATGTAGATTGATTTATAGTCACAGGCTGAGTTGCAGCTTCACGTTCTGGTTCAGTCTGAGGAGACGGTTGAGGTGGAGTTATGGATGTAGGCTGAGGTGTAGTTGTAGACTGATGGGGAGCTTCATGTTCTGGTTTTGTTTTAGGAGAAGGTTGGGATTCAGTTTGAGATGTGGAGCCAACCTCTGTTGGAACTTCAGGCTTGGGAAGAGGTTGGGTTTTGTGTTCAGGTGAGGTTTGGAGAGCAGATTGAGTTATAGATGCGAGTGGAGATGTGCCTTCAGTCTTCAATGGAGATGGAGGCTGAGGTGGAGACTTGGATACCGGCTCAGATACGATTTCAATTTCAAGCAGAGGAATGGTGTTGGGTTGAGCTGTGGATTCAGGCAGGACTTTGGCATGAGGGGAAGATGAAGGTGACAGGACCTGGGATGTTGTGTGACTTGGTGACAGGACCTGGGATGTTGTGTGACTTGGTAACAGGACCTGGGATGTTGTCTGACTTGGGATTTCAGTCTTGGGTGAACTTGGAGATGAAGGTTGAGATGAGGTTTGGAGAGCGGATTGAATTATAGATGCAAGTGGAGATATGACTTTCGCCTTTGATGGAGATGGAGGCTGAGGTGGAGACTTGGATACCGGCTCAGATACGATTTCGATTTCAAGCAGAGGAATGGTGTTGGGTTGAGCTGTGGATTCAGGCAGGACTTTGGCATGAGGTGAAGATGAAGGTGACAGGACCTGGGATGTCGTCTGACTTGAGATTTCAGCCTTGGGTGAACTTGGAGATGAAGGTTGAGGTGAGGTTTGGAGAGCGGATTGAATTATAGATGCAAGTGGAGATGTGACTTTCGCCTTTGATGGAGATGGAGGCTGAGGTGGAGACTTGGATACCGGCTCAGATACGATTTCGATTTCAAGCAGAGGAATGGTGTTGGGTTGAGCTGTGGATTCAGGCAGGACTTTGGCATGAGGTGAAGATGAAGGTGACAGGACCTGGGATGTCATCTGACTTGAGATTTCAGCCTTGGGTGAAGTTGGAGATGAAGGTTGAAGTGAAGTTTGCAGTGCAGATTGAATTATAGATGCAAGTAGAGATGTGACTTTCGCCTTTGATGGAGATGGAGGGTGAGGTGGAGACTTGGATACTGGCTCAGATATGATTTCGATTTTAAGCAGATGGGTGGCCTTGGGTTGGATTGTGGATTCAGGCAGGACTTTGGCATGAGGTGAAGATGAAGGTGGCGGGACCTGGGAGGTTGTGTGAGTTGGAGAAGAAGATGAAGGCTTAGCATGAGGTGAAGATGAAGCCCGGGGTGGTTGATATAGGACTTCAATTTCTAATGAGTTTGGAGATTCGGCATGAAGTTGGGTTGTGGGCTTAGACGGGACTCCAGAGGTGGACTGGGACATAG